GCAGCGCCTCGCACCACGTTGGTGGTCTTGGCGCTAAAGCTGCAGAAGAGGCACCGTGGGCCTGGGGGCAGCAGCAGGGGTCGGGGCTCGGCTGCCCCAGGGGCCCCAGGAAGCTTCTGCTCACTATGGCCAGGTGCTGCCCACGGGCTGTGTAGACCCTCCCTGCCTCCACCAAGCCGGGCCGCAGGTCTATCTTGTTCCCTATCAGCATGAGTGGCAGCGGCTGCTCGGTGACCTGCAGGAGAGAAGGGTGGCTCGGGGCTTTCTGGCAACCTACAGCCCTGGCCCATGTCCTTCGGGTGCCACACTGGCTGCCTCCTATCACACCTATGCAATGCCTGGGAGCCAAGTGCTGTTCCAGACACCAGCAAAAGGGAAAAACTCAAGGGAAGTGCTCTTGCTGCTTCTGGAGGCCCCTCTTGCCTGGCAGCAGCCAAGCTCTCTCCTGCCTCATTCCTGCTCCCCAGGACAGGCTGGGGCACAGCACAACCTAACCCCCTGGAAGCCCCAAGGCTCCTACCCCTCTCCTGAGGGCTTGGTGCTTCTTGGACCCTTCCCATCTTGATGTCCTCAATCCACTGGCGGATGCTGAGGAAGCTGCTTGGGGAGCTGATGTCGTAGAGAAGCAGCACGCCATGGGCTTTGTGGAAGTAGGACGGGGCAATGCTCTGGTACCTGGGACCAGGGGTGTCACTGCTGCTGGTGCAGTGACTGCCTGGTGTGGTGCAGCCCCGAGACCCCTGGCCCTGCGCTCTCACCTCTCCTGCCCAGCTGTGTCCCAGATCTGTAGTGTGGTTTGCTCCCCATCCACCAGCAGCTGCTTGATCTGGAAGTCCACTCCTGCCAGGAGGGACAATCAGGCCCTGCTCCTCTGCCCCAGCTGTGGAGTCAGTGGTGCTGGGGCTCATACCAAGGGTGCTGGGGATGTCTCCTTAGAACTTGTTCATGCAGAGTTGCAGTAGGAAGCTGGACTTTCCCGTGTCCCCATCCCCTGCCAGCACCAGCTGATATATGAGACAGAGGGGCATGGGTCCCTCCCTCCTATCACAGCCCTGCTGAGGCAAGGGCGTTGGGCGATAGCACAGGAGTGTGTTCAGCTTCCCCAGCCTGGCCCTTTGGATCACAGGGGGTGTGCTGGTTACCTCTGGGGTGAAGGCAGGAAGCTTCCTCTCGACGAAGCATCTGGCAGTGCTCTGGGGTCCCTCTGCCTCACACTTTGAGGAGCTGGGGGCCTGCTGGGTGATATGTGTACAGTAGGGGGCCTGAACCCAGGAGCTGCAGGTGAGCAGACCTGTGTCCCCCTCTGGGCCAGGGGCAGGTCCCTTGCCTCAGTGCTCTGGTGGGAGCTGGGGCAAGGCCCATCCACTGAGTTGTGGCTGCTCACACTGCTGAGTGAGGAGGCTCTGTCCGTGCTGGAGGCTGAGCTCTGCAGCTGTCCAAGGCCAGCACTGCTGCAGCCTACCCTGTCTGCCTGGGAGGCTGCGCTGGGGAGCCAGGGATGTGGGGAGCTGTCGTCCCTTCTGTGCAGAGGGTAATGCTGAGGGAGGGGCTGCAGCGATGCTGCCCCTCCGTGCTGCATTGCTCACCTGCTGCAGTTCCTCTGCAGAGCAGAGGGTGTTCAGCACTGCCAGGGTGGGGGCTGTGTGGCTTCCAGTTCCAGGGGCTCATGCAGATCCCTGTGTGCTGTGAGCCACGGTGCTGGTGGGGCAAGTGAGGGGAACCAAGCCAGCCTGCCCTGCACAGGGGCGGTGACATCACACAGCTCCCCTGCCCTTGCTCCCTCCCCTCCTGCATGGATGACAGCCCCCATGCCCCAGGTCTGCAGGGCTTGCTGCCACAGGCCCATGCCACTGGGCTGAGCCATGGCTGCTGCTGCTCTCCCAGAGGCTCCTGCTCACCATCCTGGCATGAGAGAGCAGCTGGGCCTGGCCCAGGGAGAGCTGTACCCACAGCACTGGCACCCCTGGGCAGAGGCACATTCCCTGTTATCTCAGTGGCTGCTCCCCTGCTGCTGCCTGGCTGTAGCTTGCGACTGCCCAGTTCTCCTCCACCCTCCCTGAAAGGCCAATGCTCCCAGTGGGGACCTAGCATCCTCCCAGCAGGGCCCCACAGGTCCTGCCTGCAGCTGGCACAGGGCCTGCATGGGATTGGGATACCTAGGGAGCCCCAAGGACACCCGGTGTCACAGTGTGTACCAGCAAAGGGCCTGGAGGGATGTGCTGGTGGCTCCAGGTAGGCTGCCCAGTGGCCCATGCTCACGGCATGGATAAGCAAGGCAGCACTTCCCCAGTGGGCACTGGGCCCTGCCTGCAGTACAGGGGTGTGGCAGAGCCCCCCACCTGCACTGGACTCTGTGGGCACGTGCAGCAGTGCTGCTGGATTGGGGTGCCCTGTCAGGCTGGGACAGCCCTGCCATTCCCTCTCCATGGTGCCACCTCTTGTGCTGCTGGGTCCGCCCAAAACCCCCCCTCAGCTGCTCCAGCTCTGCAACAGCCAGGAGATGCTGCACGCGGCCCGGTGTTCTCCTGGGCGGGGAGAGATGGGTCTCCACTGCTGCACAGTCCAGGACACTGGGAAGCCCTTGGGTGCCAGAGGCTGCAGGGACCCCCCTCCCCAGCCCTACCTGGCCCATGTCCCCAAGCTGGTGCCACAGCTGCCCATCCCCGAGCCCCGTGTGGGTTCCTGCATCTCCTGGGAAAGGAGAGGTGTGAGGGGCAGCCCTGGAGCACTGCAGCCTCCACTGTTCCATCAGGGACCCCACAAAGGCTGCATTGCTGCACTGGGATCAGTTGGACTCCAACAGCATCCACCCTGCTGTGCCACCCTCACCTCCTGCAGCACTGTATCCCCAGGCTGGTGGGTGCCCTGGCGATGTGTGTCGATCCCCATCCTGCACCCACTGCCACCATCACAGTGTGGGGCCTGTTGGGTGCAGTTGGGGCTGTGGGCCCCAGGGAGCCACCCCACCATGTTTGCTCTGTAGGTGGGGGCCCAGGGCCGCTGTGATCCTGTGGCCTGCTGACACTGTGCCCTCCTTGGGAGCAGTGGCCATAGGCTGAATACCCTCCTGCAGTCCCAGGGCAGTGCCTGTGCTCAGCACCTCCTGCTTGTCTCCCCTCTCCAGCATGGCCACCCTGAAGGTGCCCTCAGCTATGGCTGCTGTGTGGCCAGTGCTGGGGTGCTGCAGGCACCCCATTTTTCCCCCCTATGGCTGCAGCCTGTGTGGGGTGATGGCACAGGCTCAGCTCAGAGTTTTGTATAAAAATGTATTGAAAGAGGTATTTACAGCGAGTACATCATGGCAGGGGTGGCCAGGCAGAGCCCTGCTCCTTGAGTGCACCCTGCGGGTGCCAGGGCATCCAGGCTGAACACCTGCCTCTGGCTTGCTCCAGCCCCTTGGGTGGTCCTGGCTCAGCACAGGGCTAGTATCCCTGGAAGCATTCACCTTCCAGGTTCCCCTCAGGCTCTGAGATGCCACCATCTCCTGGGATGGGGGGTCAGGGAGGCCAGGAGGACTAGGCAGTGCCAGGGCACAGGGTGCAGCAGGGACGAGCCCCAGGTACAGTTCATCCTGGCAGGGACTATGTGGAGACACTGATGCGCTGCGGGGCACGTCGTCGCCGCACAACACGCGGCCCCGTGCTGCTGCGCCGGTGCTGTGGGGAGCTGTGGAGGCAGAAGGGGCTCAGCAGCAGCCACAGGTAGAGCAGGACACAGGCCCAGCATGAGGACACCTTCACCCAGAAGGTTGACCAGCTGCCGTGCGTGAAGGTGGTCTCCAGCACCGCATTTTCATAGCTGGTGGGAGAGGGCAGGTGTTGGGTGCTTAAGGGATGCTGACACAGGGTTCCTGTGCCAGCTGCAGACACCAGGTCACCCTGTGTCCCAGCAGCCATGTATCCCTGGGCATGTCCCACCTGCCATGGACCCTCCAGCCCTGCAGACCTCATTGCACTGCATGGCTGCTGTTGGTCATTGGCCGGAGCAGTGCAGGTCTGTGGGCACAGAGCCCTGCGCGTCCCCAGCAGGCGCCAGCTTGGTGACAGCATCATGGCCTGGCACAGAGGGCTGGAGCAAGAGCAGGGAAGGCTGGGCAGCAGTGTGGGTCCCTACCTGAACCAGTTGGTGAGGGTCATCATGACGTAGAGCGAGGCAAGGAAGAAGACGAAGTGGAAGGCTGAGTAGCTGTAGACCACCCGGTCTTGCTCATCCTGGACAAGGAACTGTCCCCTAGCACTCTCCTCCACTTGCTCACACGTCTGCTCGGTTCCTGGGAGAGCGCAGGGGCACGGCAGCTCCTGCATGCCCCCCTCACTGGCACCCCCAGGCTGGGACACAGGCTCTGCCTGATTTCCTGCACCCACTCTGCACCCACCTCTCAGTTCCTCCTCCATCTTCTCGGGGCAGCAGAAGCAACAGGAGGGTTTCTGCAGGGACAGGAGAGTGGTGGCTGCCCAGCCCCGTGGCCACGGTGGCTGGGCTGAGCCCTCCTTGGCACTGGGGCAGGTGGGTGTGCTCTGGGCAGCCCCCTGTGCTTGGCTGGACAGACCTGCCCCATGCTGGGACTGTGACAAGGGCTTGGGGTGGTGGGTCTGGGGTACCTGTGGCAAGAGGACACGAGGCACAGCTGCATTCGTACTCACTTCAAACTCAAAGCTGTAGACTTTGACCATCCAGAGGGGCCCGAAAACCTCGGCAAGGTAGGAGGCTTCATTGCTGTGCCCAGGAGAGACACAGAAATCATAACACAGGCAGCCACTGCCTTGTGCCAGGCCCTCAGCCCATCCCATGGATCCCCCACAGCTGCAGGAGCCCTGCTGTGCTGTACCTGGGGTCCCTGTGCTGCCCCTGCCCCACCAATGCCCCATCTGCTCTGGTCCTGCCACCCCTTGGGACGTTCCCAGCTCTGCTGGCCATGGGGGTCCTTGTGTGGTGCCAGTTGGGCTGGCTGTGCCCAGCAGAGCTGGTGCCTGGTGGGCCAGTGCTGCAGGGTCCCTGCCCACCCTGTGCCTTGGGCATACGTACCACGCAAAGAGCACGCAGGCATACATGATGGCAGCGCCCAGCACGGCGACGGTGGTGTCCTCTGTCTGCAGCTCGTCCTGCCGGACCCCCGGGAAGCAGACAGTGAGGTTCTGACCCTTGTAGAGCACTGTGGGGACGCAGAGGTGAGACAGGAGTGCACCATGGTGGGGGCTGCTGGTGGTGGGTGGGGGCACCCACCTCTCTCCGGGGGACGGCTGGACAGCGCGGAGAAGGTGAGGTACATCACGTAGCAGCTGATGATTGAGGACTGCAACAGCCCTGACCGCGGCTGCTCTGCAAGGGTGGGGACAGAGGTGTCACTGGAATCCCTGGTGTGCCATAAGCTGGTGGGTGAGCTCTGCTTGGGCCCTGGCTAGCCCCCTATGCCACCCCCCTGCCCAGTGCCCTGCACCAAGGTACAGGAGGGGCTGTCGGGAGCCCTGGGGAGATGGGTTCTCCTCCAGTGGTCAAGTGCTGGCCTTGAGCTGGGGGGCACAGCCACCCCTAACCCAGGATGCAGCTGGTCATCCAGCATGCCAACCCTCACTGTGCCGTGCGATACCCACTGAGTCGCACACAGGGCGTGATGGAGATGAAGGACATGATGCCACAGAGGCTGCCATTGATGGTGAGCAGCGCCTTGTTGAGGTGGCAGGCGGCCGGGTGGGTGTAGAACTTGTAGAGGAAGGAGAAGGCGGCAGAGGCGAGGGTGTAGAAGGCGGCCGTGGCCAGCAGCACGGCCAGGTACCAGCGCTTATCCTGCGCGGCGCCCGTCAGCCTGTGGGAGAGTGTGTGAGTGGTGGCAGCAGGTGGGTGCCCACCCGGCACCCCGGCACTCACCAGTTCTTGTTCCAGGTGTGTGCAAAGGCCGTGATCAGCACCAGCTGGATGAGGATGAAGGCGAAGCCCCCACAGACACCCGTGTAGTGCCAGGCTGGGGGGAGAGGGCAGAGGTGGGGATAGCTAAGGGCAAGTGGGGGCTGTGAGGGATGCTCGGGCTGCCAGCTTGGGTGGGGTGGGGGACATACCTTGGATGAAGTTGTCCTCCGGGATGAAGAAGCTTGCGGCCCAGAGGCCCACCAGTGCCAGCAGCTTCAGGAGCCAGAACCTGCAGGGCAGTGAACGTCAGTGGGACAGAGCCCCTGGCAGCCCCATCTTGGGACACCCTGTTCCAGCCCCATGGCCTGCCCGTACCCATTGTGGAGCTGCGCGCGGCAGTCAGAGCTCGAGCGCACGTTGAGCAGCAGGGCAGCCTGTGCCAGGTGGAAGCAGGAGGTGCCGAAGCAGACCCGGTACACAGCCAAGGAGCCCACCAGCCGCTCACAGTCTGTGCCCCCAGGCAGGTGTTGGCACAGCACCACGGAGAAGGGCACCTGCAGGCATGGTGGGTGACAGGACAGGGCTGCTGGTGCTTCCAGCAGCACCCTCCAGGACCCATGGCATTCAGTGCACCCAGACTTCTGATATCCCCAGCATTCCCTGGGACCCCAAACACCCTGCATCTTTGGTACTCCTTGCACCCCTTCCCCCTTGACACCTCCAGCACCCTTGTCACTCCCAGCAGCCCTGTTACTATCCCCAGCAACCCAGTACTCCTGACTCCCTGGCAATTCTGGCACTCCCAGTGCTCTCCTGGATGCCCCTGGGTGCCCCAGGGTGTCTGGCACCCCCGTATCCCCAGCACTCATGGTATCCTTGAGACCCTCATCACCCCAGGGGACCCCCAGCACTCCCAGCACCCTGGATGTCCCAGCTCCTGCTGTCACCTTCTCTGTGATGGCTTGGGCCACAGTGCGGGACAGCATGAGGCAGCACACGGCAGAGGCCAGGACATGCAGGAGCGTGTAGAGGATCCGCGTGTTCGTGGACATGCGAAGCCCATGACAACCGCAGAACAGCTGGGGGGGGAGCACAGTCAGCGAGGATCCGGCAGGGCCAGCACTGCCCCCCAGCCTGGCCCGGCATCTCCTCCCTTCCCAGCCCCGCTCCCAGCCCCGCTCCCAGCCCCGCCAGGCCGCGCCGCACCTGGGAGAGCAGCGGGTGCAGGAGGTAGCCGTGTGCCCGTGTGCCCGCCATGGCCCGGCTCGGCTCTGCTCAGCCCCCGCGGCGCTGATGGGATTAGAGGATTGTCGGCTCAGCCCGCCCTGCCATCTGCTCGCTGCTCCCTCCCGGCAGCCACCCCTGGGACGCTCCGTGGGCAGTGTCCAGTGATCCCCGGCCATGGGCAGCCCTGCCCGCACCCCGGCCCCTCACTGGGCAGGACGAGGCCGTGGAAGCGGCCTGGGCATGGGCGGGCTTGGGGGGCACGTGGGGTCTGCCGATGATGTAACCCTGATCCCAGAGCAATGCCCCGGGGCTGTGCGGAGGAGCTGGGGAGTGTGGGGGTACTGGGGGTCTGGAGCACCCCCAGGCACAGAGGCACCCAAGGGACACGGATACCACGAGGGTAGGGGGATGGCATAAGGCACATCCAGTGGTGAGCGGGAACCCCCAGTGTCGGCAGGAGATTGGA